TTCAGCTTTTCGACATTCTCTTTTTTCTGTTTTCACGGTCATGGCCTTTCTCCATGGAGATATTTTCTTGCCAGACACTTCCTTTACCTTAGTTGGAGCAATGGCATCTATAACATTTTAAATTTTTGAATTAAAATGATCTACTAGCTCATTTACTGAGATGTTAGCAGGGGCAAGTGTGGAAGAAAAATTCTGAGTAAACATTTCCCTAGTATTTTCAGTTAAATATCGCTTTGTGGTTACCTCTTTTTGAACATTTTTGTGAACAGAAATAGAGCTCTCAAAGAAAACACAGGAATGGTCAGAGAGTGCAACATCAGTCACCACAACCTTAGAGATATTCAGACCCTTTGAGATAATTAAGTCCAGAGTGTGCCCCTTATTGTGCGTGGGCTCCGTCACATGCTGAGTCAGTCCATAGCTATCAAGAACACAAAACAGTTCTTTAGCCCCTCTGTCCTGGGGGTTGTCAACATGGATGTTAAAATCACCAACAATGACTAGACGGTCAAAGTCAATACACACTATAGACAGCAGTTCAGTAAAGTCATCAAAAAAGCTTGCACAGTATTTGGGTGGTCTATAGATATTTAGGAACAGAGCTCGAGAGGAGCATTTCAGCTGAAGGGCCACATATTCAAAAGAATCAAAGTTTCCATACGCTGTCTTCCTGCATTGAAGGGAATCATTGAACAGAATAGCAACTCCACCTCCTTTCTTATGCATTCTTTCCTGACTCATAAAACTAAAGTTGGGAGGGGTTGATTCGATAAGAACAGCTGCACTGTTATTTTGTTCAATCCAAGTTTCTGTTAAAAACATAAAATCGAGATTGTGCTCAGTGATAAAATCATTGATTAAAAATGTTTTTCCTGCCAAAGACCTGACATTTAATAAAGCTAGTTTAAGTTTGTTAAACACACTATCAGTCATGTTTTTTGTAACAAGCTGTGGCTGACATGGAATCACTGCTAAATTAGATAAACTCACACAAACGTTTGAGCGCTTCCTGTTTCTATGATTCACCGCTCTTAATCTATTACCTATCAACACAGATATCGGCAAAGCTACTGGCAGGCAGGGCCCCGACATGTCCTGGAAAGAGTTGAGAGTGCCATACGCCCTTGAGCCTGGACCCATCACATATCAGTAAGAGTTTGTTGTGTTTTGTACACACACATCCTTATCAGGCTTCGGAGACTGCAGATGCCCCCTCGAAGGGAGGGGAGGTGGTCGACGTAGGCACGGTGATGGAGACGGGCGAGATGGTGCGGGGGTAGAGGACATGCTGCCAGGGGGGGGGAGGTGGTTGACGTAGGCGCGGTGATGAGGACGGGGGAGATGGTGCGCATCTCTGCAGTGATTTTGGTGGGCGTCGTTGAGGAGCGGGGGTAAAGGACATGGTGCCAGCCCTGCGTATCGCCTTCGTTTGGTCTTTGAACTCCAGTAAGGAATCGGTGCCAACAGGAGCGGACCTAGCACATTTGGTGCCCTAGGCGAGCTTCACCACTGCGCCCCCCCCCCCACAAAAAAAATATCAAAACATCTTAACAGTTATACAGTAAAGTACTGCACCTTTATTTATTACAAGCAAGAACAAGAGCTAAGAATAAATGTAAAGTGCACACTAAAGAATTAAAACAAATAAACAACTTAGCTAACAAACAATAATAATAATAACAAACAATAAAATAACGTGCAAATTTGCTTTAAAAGAAAATTATTAGGGCTGTCAGTCGATTAAAATATTTAATCGCGATTAATCGCATGATTGTCCATAGTTAATCGCGATTAATCGCACATTTTTTATCTGTTCTAAATGTACCTTAGAGGAATATTTTTCAAGTTTTGAATACTCTTATCAACATATGAGTGGACAAATATGCTTTATGCTAATGTTTATTATCATTTGAACAATGACAAATAATCTCATGAATATTAAACACAACAACCTCTGAACATTACAAATATTCGCCTCAATTCAACCTGGAACCTCTCTCATACAATAATACAAATGGTGTGTGTGTGTGTGTGTGTGTGTGTGTGTGTGTGTGTGTGTGTGTGTGTGTGTGTGTGTGTGTGTGTGTGTGTGTGTGTGTGTGTGTGTGTGTGTGTGTGTGTGTGTGTGTGTGTGTGTGTGTGTGTGTGTGTGTGTGTGTGTGTGTGTGTGTGTGTGTGTGTGTGTGTGTGTGTTGGATCGTTGGAGCTATGTGCAACTCAAGGCATGTGCTCGAACGGGAGCTGCAATCATGTTGCGCACTATCCGTGCTGAGTGTGCTGACTTTTCGTACAATGTCCCACTGTCTGGCTTCCTGCATAAAGTCAAGTGCTCGGCGCAGTTGTGGCGAAATGTCGCTTATCTGTTTTCATTTAAACAGCTCCTTATATCCGTTAGCACAGCTAGCTAGCACCAGATACTAACAACAACAATGTACGTAAGGTCTCTCTCTCGCTCGCTCGGGCCACACATACACACACCCTCCCGGTCCTCCCAATAGCCAGTCAGTGCCTGCCGGTGAGCGTGGAAGTGTGGTCTGCAGCAAGCGGGTGGCAGGAGCGGGGCTGTCAGCATCAGCTTGTAGACGGTATTTTAAACTCGATGCGCTCTGAAACTACGGGGCGGTCGAGGAAAAAAAATACACATGCGTTAATCACGTTAAAATAAATTAGTGGCGTTAATTTTTGTTTGCGTTAACGCGTTAACTTGACAGCCCTAAAAATTATGTATTGTAAAATATGTTACACATGTCAAATAATCAAAATATAATATGCTAAATAAACAAACAAATAAATAAAAATTACAAATTCACTTTGTCTCAATAACTATTTACATTCCACTCCCTATCATCACACAAGGTTAGCCTATTAGCTCCTACTGGTTTCCATTTACAGTGCAATCCTTCTGGCCTTCCTCACTGCAAAGTCATCAATCACATCATCAGATGAAATCTGACCACCAACCTCATGGTTAATACTGATTACAGCCAGACCACTGAGGCGTTCTTGAGCCATGGTTGACCTCAGGTATGTTTTCAAGAGTTTTAATTTGGAAAAACTCCTCTCGGCTGAAGCTACTGTTACTGGTAGCGTTGCACTGATCCGCAGAGCAATACACAAGTTGGGATATATTTTGGTGAGCTGCTTTGTGTGTATGAATTTCAACAACTCAAGAGTTGTCATGCTCTTTGATGGCAAGTCAGGTACATTTTCCAACTCCTGAGCCAGCTCCTTCCCATCCAAATCAGATTGCGCTCCATGGCTTAAGGTGTGTGCAAGTGCCTCTGCTTGCTTCATCAGCTCTTGGTGTGGCAGGTCTGGGAAGTTGTACAGAATGCCAAACTTGTCTTGCACATGTTTAAGAGTGGTAAACCTCTCCTTTTGTGCTGACACTGCAGCATCCACCACCACGTTAAAGAAGGTTACCTCCAGATTTTGCAAGGCATCCCTCAATCGCTCATCAGGAGACTCATATGAGAAGTGCCTCTTTGTTGACTTCAGCCGCTTTTGCACAAGGACTGCGTCCACATTCATGTCTTCACACATGTCCTTGGCTGATGTTTGTGCGGCCACAAAGCATGTGGCTCTGTAGGATTCGAGAGTTTTTTCAGTCTTTTTTAGTAGACTTACTGCTACATTCAATTGCATTGTTTGGGACTGCAGGAGTTTGCTCACCTGCTGAATTTGACTTAACACATCATACCAGACCACTGTGCACAGTGAAAAGCAGAATGACCCCACTTCTTCTGCCAGAGACTGGGCTTCAATCCTGATGATTGGGTCTTTGGCCTGTTTTCTCACCTCAAGCAGTGCCTCTCTCACAGCTGCGGCTTCATATCGCAGAGGCTCCACAGCTTTCACTCTGCTCTCCCATCTGGTTTCTGACCACATTTTGAGTGAAAGGTTGACGTGTTTCTTGAGGATGGCCCATCTCTGTGTCGAGGCAGAAAACAGGCAGTATAGCTTCTGCACAATGCCAAAAAATGATATGGCATCTTTGGAGCTTTTGGCAGCATCAGCAATGACCAAATTGAGTGTATGTGCCCCACAAGGCACAAACAAAACTCTGGGTTCAACTGCAGTAGCCTGGCCTGTACTCCCTTGTTCTTCCCTCTCATATTTGCGCCGTTGTCATATGACTGTCCTCTGCAGTCATCAAAGGCAATCTGCAACTCCTCCAGCCTCTTCAAAATCAGGGCGGACAAACTTTCATCAGTGGACTGCTCTGCTACTAGGAATCCCATGAAGTGCTATTTAATCTGGGGGTCTTCTTCCAGTGTCACAATTCTGATGACTACTGACAGCTGTTCAGTGTGGCTAACATCCGGGGTGCAATCTAAACTGAGGGAAAAGTATTTGCATTTCTTTATTTCTTGCACTATTGTAGATAGAATCTTTCCACTGATGCATTCAATCAACTCATTCTGAATGGTTTTGCCCAAGTAGCTGTGGTGGGATGTTTGACTTTTAATCTTGTTAGTGTGGTCTTTCATCACTGGGTCAAACTGTGCCAAAAGCTCAACCTCTTTCAAAAAGTTTCCATTTGAAGGAGAGTGGAGTATTTCTGTCTTTCCTCTCAATGCCATATTTCGCCCTGCCAGAGACTACAATAGCAACCAGTCGTGTCAGCACTGCTCTCCACCGACTCTTCTCTGCCTCAAGGAGGGCCTGCTCTTGTTTGTCTATTGTTGTACTTTGTTTTAATCGAACTGCCAATTATTTCCATGACGCCAAATTGTTCAGGTGTTCCGGACTATTTTCATGGCTGGTCAAAGCAGCACTTGCATTTTTCCAATCCGACAGTCCTGCATTTGTTAAATTAATTTGTTTTGGAGAGAAAAGTTGACAACAAAAACAAAAAAGACTGTTCTTCTTTTTTGAATATGTCACCCGACTTCTTTTGATCCTTTCTCCATTTACTAAGGTCCTGCTGAAGTACTGGTGGTGGCAACTTCTCCCATCATCTCTCCTTGGGAAAAGGAAATCAGGTGTTATCTGATATGGTCCTCTCTGAACAAACTCTGTCCTCATTGTGTCTGTGAGATGTGAAGGGCAGTCAGCAGGATCGGTTGGTAGTGGATCGTCTGTCTTTGCTGCATCTGGAGGGCATGTGAAGCACATTTTCTCACCTCATATTCACAATATCTTCACACATACAAACACACACACACACAACCCCAATTCCAAAAAAGTTGGGACAGTGTGTAAAATGTAAATAAAAACAGAAAGCAATTATTTGAAAGCATGAGGATAATTAGGTTTATAGCTAAACATCTTTACATTCATCAGGCACACACCTGAGAAGAGTGTATGGGTGGAATCTGTGGTGCAATCAGGATGAGATGCAGCAGGCTGGTCTGACGTTCCTTGCAGTGGTTCTGGGCCTATACATATATAGAGAACACACAAGAGCAAATATATTGGCTGGATTAGAAATGGCACAACAGTCATTTTTACATTCAATTATTTATCATCACATCAGGAACATCTATTGACATATTGTACTCACCAGAACAAACAGGCACAGTGGTCAGTGGCAGGGTGGAATCAGTGGTCATCTCATCAGGATGAGCAGCTTGCTGTTCTGACATTCCTTCATGTGGTTCTAGGTCTATAAATATAGAAAGAACACACAAGAGAAAATATATTGACTGGATTTCACATTAAATTATTTATCATCAGGAACATTGCACTCACCTGAGGAAGCCGGCACAGCTGAGCTGCATGGCTGTTCCTTGTCAACTGATGCAGCAGGTGGTCCCAGATATTTTAAAAGTGAATCTAAAATGATATAACAAAATGTGTATTATCAACATTGAATAATTTCCATTTGTTAAATGTAGCTATTATTTAGTTAGTAAGCATAGTAAAGCTATGCCTATCTTATTAGAACAGTTGAACCAGGTGTGTTAGTTCTGGGTTGGAACGAAAACATTCAACAGGACTGGAGTTGAGAACCACTGAGCTAGTTAGCTAACGATAGCGCACATTATGACAGGGTCGAATTTGGCAAATGTTTGACTCGGATAGTCAATGTGCTTTTTGAGGTAAACTTAACGTTAGCTAACGTTACCAACTAACTAACATTCCACCACACTGGCTAGCTCGCTACACCAAAACTAACATTGTTATTATTACTAATATTTCTATTTCATGACACAACGAAAATAGCCTTATGACAGTTTAGACTGAATGGCAATAACAAACGCTGGCTAGATAACGTTGGCTTGGCTAACTAGCAAGATTACATGATCCATTCGCCAATGTTAATAATACAATCAAAATTGCATACCTTTCACCTTGGCACGTTTCTCTTCTTCTTCATTTCTTCAGTTTTTATACTGCGCCTCGGATGGCTTTTGCCTCGTCATAGTTCTCTAACGTTAGTCTTTCTTTCCTCAACGCTCAATTTTATAAACACTTGACCGATAGCCATCAATGCACAGCGCTCTAGCATGTTCTGACTGTGAACACCTAAAGCCGAGGCTCTTACGGCCCGTCCACACAGCGGCGTGCGTTGACACTTGCCGGCGGGCGTGTCTGACACTTGACCAACAACCAATCACATGAATCTCCCGCCCCTGACACACAAGCAGCGGTTTGATTGGCAAGAGCTTGTACTGGCATATAATTCGATTGGCTGACGCTTCTGCCGAGGCGTCAAAAGTTGAGCATTGCTCAACTTTTGCAGCGAGCCACGCCAGCAATGCTCCGCGTCGCTTCCCACGATGCAGTTTGGCTAAAAGTGACGTCACCCCATTCAAAGTGAATGGGCAGAAGCGTTGGAAGCTTCAACGCACGCCGCTGTGTGGACGGGCCGTTAGACCGACCGACCGTTTTAGATTGTTGGCTCATTTTCCCTTATGTTAGAATTTTTTTTGTATGACAGAATAATGGTTGCAGATATAGAGGTGGGCGCCAAAACTGCGCCCCCCTCTGGGTGGCGCTCTAGGCAACCGCCTATATCGCCTGTAGGAAGCTCCGCCCCTGGGTGCCAACCCTCTGTATCTCCTTTGTGTGTTCAGCGATCTCCAGGAGGGTGGGCGAGGGTGAAAGGGTGAACGGAGTATCCTCAAAGGTGTTGACAGGGGGGGGGGGGGGGGGGGGGGGGGGGTGACGGGCAGTGGAGACTCCTCCATGTGTGTCATAGGTCTCCCGTAATCAGAACATTCCTCAGGCGGGTGCAGTGATAATTCTTCAGGGTTTTCTGCGTGATGTGTTGTGTCTTTCTCCTGTTTTGATTCCTCTTGCCGCTTGTCCTTGGCAGAGGGAACAGATTGATGACGCAGGCTTAGACTCTAAGCTTACAGAATCCAAAACACAACAATTTCTTCATAGATTGCATTTACCATCATTAACAAAGGAGGAGGCATCTAAAATGATACAGCCAATTTCATTGCAGGAAATATCTGACACTATAACAACTTTGAAAAATAACAAATCCCCTGGTACAGACGGGTTTCCAGGTGAATTTGATAAATGTCTAAAAGAAGAGATTACACCAATATTATTTAAAGTTTTTAATTATGCTCTATCTTCAGGTAATCCACCGAAAACTTGGTCTGAAGCCATTATATCTGTCCTACATAAGGAGGGCAAAGATCCAACTTCATGTGAGGGATATAGGCCAATTAGCTTGCTTTGTAACGATCTAAAAATATTGACGAACATATTGGCTCGGAGAATGCAAATATGTATAACCAAACTTATCAAACCGGATCAAACAGGTTTTATCCCATGTAGGCAAGGGGCTAATAATATTAGCAGAACATTAAATCTCATATCATGTACTAAAAACAATCAGCCAACCATGTTACTAAGCTTAGACGCACAAAAAGCTTTTGAACGGGTCAAGTGGAGCTTTTATACAACACACTGGATGCTTTTGGGTTTCAATCAACCTTCATAGATTGGATAAAAATTGTGTACAGCTGTCCAAAATCACGTATAACCCCCTGATCCCACTGGAAGCGTCTGCGCTGCGGCTGCGCTGCGCTGCGACCTCCTCCTGCGTCCTAACCCACCAGGCGCGTTTCAAAACGTTGCGGAAGCGGAGCGTCGTGTGTGCAGCCTCGCAGTTGTTGGATGAACATTCTACTTCCTGCCTGCGCCGCGCTGCGCCGCGTCAAAAATAGGATTCATCCTATATTTTAGAAATTCCTTGCGGCGAGGAGCTTCTGGGACGCTTCGCAGCGCGGCGCAGCGTGTCTGGTGGAATAGCACCCATTGACTAGAGTGGCCGCGATCGCTAAAAACGCCGCAGCCGCAGCGCAACGCAGCGCAGCGCAGACGCTCCTGGTGGGATTAGGGGGTTAGAGTAAATGGTTGTTGCTCAGATTTGTTTAACCTTAAAAGAGGAGTTAGGCAAGGAGATTGTTTAAGTCTGTTACTATTTGCCGCAAGTATCGAACCGTTGGCTGAATTAATTAGACAACATAAAGACATAAAAGGAATAAGAGACAAGGGGGGAGAAGAACACAAAATGTAATTATTCGCGGACGATATATTAACATATATAAGTGAGCCTTCCTCATCTATTCCAGCTTTGTTGAACAATCTTAATGAATACGGGGAGATATCAGGTTATTTGACCAATGAAGCAACATCTGTAGCTACCCCTGCAAGATGGAGTTCATGACTTTATTCTAGAGGAACTGTTAATGACATATACAGGGGACGAGACAAAAAAAGGGGCTATATCAAAACTTTACAAGGTACTACATTATGAATGTAACAGCAACAATAAGGATGTCAAAGAAAAATGGGAGTTGGAAGCGAATATTACAAGGATTGGGAAGAATCATTCAAGGTGGGACATACAATAACAAACAGTCCAACATGGAGGGAATTTGATTGGAAGGTGAAAATGAGATATTTTAACACCCCATCTATCACTTCAAAATATAGCAATACCTCTAATTTGTGCTGGAGGGGCTGTGGACGGGTGGGAGACTTCACACATATATGTTGGGACTGTCTAACCATTCAGGGCTTCTGGAAAGATATTCAAAAGGAGATTAAACGGGTGCTGGGCATTACCTTTACTTTGGACCCAGCACTTTATATACTGGGTATACTGCCCAGTGATATGGACAGAAATGTAGCTTTCTTACTAAGAATTCTTCTTCTAATTGCGAAAAGCCCCCCAATATAGTCCCACTGGAGAAACAGGGTAAAACATTTTTATTTAATGGAGAAAATCACAGCAAGACTACAGCTGAAAACTGACAAATTCTAAGAATTAATACAAGCAACACCAGATCTCTAGCAGCACCTCTTTTTTTATTTTTAGTTTATTTTATTCACTGCACTTGTACTTGTTTCATCTGGATGGTAAAGCACTGGCTCTTACTATCATAATGGTTCAGGTATTGTGCGATCATGTTTCCGATGAGGGGGAGTGATAATATCTGTAATATGTTGATAATGTTTGCACAATATAGAAATTGATAACACTAAGAAACTGTATGTCCTTTTGGTGCCCAAGGAGGGTATGTATGATTCATCCTGGTGTGAAACAGCTGCAGTTATGTAAGCATCTCCATGTATGTTCTATTGATGTTATGTATGAAAAATTAAAAAAAAGTTAAAAAAGACAACCTAAAACAGTCCCACTCCAAACTCCACTAACGGACACGTTTCATTTCAGCTCGGCAGCAGAGGACTTTGCCGCAATGAAAGCAAGGAGAAAGTAAAAAGGGTAGCCTAGGGTAAATGTGATGGGCTCCAGATGTTACAGGTGTTTTTTTTAATAGCCTACATTTTAGCGGCTAATGAGGTTTTGCTCAATCGTTCCTGTTAGTTTTGTTTAATCGTTTCTGTTGTTCATTAAATAGTCAAATTGATTTGAGGTCGTCGTCAATCTAGGTGTACATTATAGTTGCTTTTGTAAGATAGACTGTTATTGAAACATGACCGGTAAGTTTCAAATGTATGCGGTAAAATAAATTCTGTCCGGACATCTGACCGGCGAGAAAAAATCCTAGCGGAAACCCTGCCCCAGAGGTGTTTTTTTTTCTTCTAAGCCTCTATAAAAAGGTGAAATTTAACTTGTTTTGCATCAATCTTGATACAGGGTACCCGGTACGTATATGTTATAGTTTGGATTCCTAAAGCTTTTTGTCTACTATCCCATCATTCAAGGGTTGTTTGGACGGAAACTATCATTTACATTTTTTTACTACACTGAACAAAAATATAAATGCAACATTTTTGTTTTTGCTCCCATTTTTCATGAGATGAACTCAAAGATCTAAAACATTTTCTATATACACAAAATAACAATTTCTCTCATATTGTTCACAAATCTGAAAAAATCTGTGATAGTGAGCACTTCTCCTTTGCCGAGATAATCCATCCCACCTCACAGGTGTGGCATATCAAGATGCTGATTAGACAGCATGATTATTGCACAGGTGTGCCTTAGGCTGGCCACAATAAAAGGCCACTCTGAAACGTGCAGTTTTGCTTTATTGGGGGGGGTCCGAAAACCAGTCAGTATCTGGTGTGACCACCATTTGCCTCACGCAGTGCAACACATCTCCTTCGCATAGAGTTGATCAGGTTGTTGATTGTGGCCTGTGGAATGTTGGTCCACTCCTCTTCAATGGCTGTGTGAAGTTGCTGGATATTGGCAGGAACTAGAACACGCTGTCGTATACGCCGATCCAGAGCATCCCAAACATGCTCAATGGGTGACATGTCCGGTGAGTATGCAAGAACTGGGATGTTTTCAGCCTCCAGGAATTGTGTACAGATCCTTGCAACATGGGGCCGTGCATTATCATGCTGCAACATGAGGTGATGGTCGTGGATGAATGGCACAACAATGGGCCT